AGGGAGGGTCCTAGCAGGAGTTGCAGGCCGAGGCAATAACCTCAGAACAGCCTCCCAACAACCTAGGGTTCCTCAAGGAGGCCTTAGTTTAACTGCTTTAATATCTGTTCCAACACACGGGCAGCCCACATGCTGCCCAAGAAGGGCAGACACACATGTGTCATTACCCACAAGTAAAAGCTACCTCCACTGTGACCTGCAGTTCAGGGGCCAGAAGCTCCATTTATGGAATCCATAGGCTGTATGATAATGACCTTGACTGCAGTAATGGCTGACTTTTTCATTTCGGTGACAGTCAGAAATGCCTCAGAAAGCAAAGATAATGACAAAGGTCACAATCTGAAGCCACTGTGGAAAGCAGAATTGCAGTAAGAAAAGAATCCTGTATTCATAGAATTAAAGTTATATATCCTTACTCATGGATGAATGTCATTTTAAACCTTCATTGGTCATATCTGGAATTTGGTTTAACTCTGAGACAAAAAGGTTGATCACTTCATTTCAATTACTTAGTTCTAAAATTCAATAATTCCATGTTCCATTTATTTTTTTTCTCAGATTTGGGGAGAATAGCTTGCTGGGCAGGGACTTTTTCTGCAGAAGCACCTGCAGGTCTACAAGGCCACGCCCTCAGGCCTTCCACCTCCCCGTCTCATCCTCCCCCCCGCCCTAGAATGGTGGAGAATGGTGATGCTGAGTTAAGGCAGAACCCATGCTGACTTCACTGCACCCCTCCTGCTTGTAGGCAGCAATGTGGTCGAGGACAGTCTGAAGGTGGACATCAAGGACAGCCAGTTTGGAAACAAGATATCCGTCGAAGTGTCTTGGATGAGAACCTTGCAGGAGGAAACAACCTGGAGCAAAGGTTCCAAGGCAGGAGCGAGCCAGAGAAGTGGGAGCGACACACTTTTGAGACCTCCCATTCACTGACTGACGATGGGTGCCATGCCCAGGCACGCAAGATGGCTCCTCCTGGGCTCAGGAGCGGGTGGGGATCCCAGACTTCCCACACTCTGTCTTCCACTCACTAACTCAAGTGCAAGTGCCCAGCCTTGATTTTTGTACTCAATAAATGTTAGTGATTCACACCTATGCCCTTATCTTGTAAGGAGAACAGAGCAAAAAGTGTGTCTGACTGGTGGCAAAGCCAAGGAATCAGGGGAAAGCCTCGCCTGGAGTGAGGCCCTGAGCCTGGTGCATCACCAGCCTGGAGTGGGGGAGGCCCTCAGCCTGGGGCATCAAGAGCCTGGGGGTGGGCGGGGAAAGAGCCTCGCCCAGGAGTGAGGACCCTGAGTTCAGGGACTGTGACATCACCAGCTCAGGACACGGGAGTCACTTGGTCTCTTGGAACGCAGTTCAGTCCTCTTTACAAGGCCATTGGACTAGATGGTCTCTACACCCCGTCCCGGTGCCAGATTCCATGGTCGGTGAACAGCATGCAGTGACTCCGTTAAGTGCCGTGCTGTGTGTCACAGCAGCTGCGATGGCAGAGGTGGACAGGGAGTGACCCTGAACCCCTCAGCATGCTGCCTCACGGCTGTGACTGCACTAACAGTGAGGAAATTCTGAACCAGGAGCCCCGCATGTGCATTCTACACAGGCCCTGTTCCTGTGAGCCAGCTGGGACTAACTGGAACAGCCATTTTCCCACGAGCAGCTAGAGCCTGGCAGGAAGCCAGCCCTGGCACCTGCAGATGGGCAGGGTGGGTGAGATGCTGTCTGGGGGGGGGGGGGGCACTTCCAAAGGGTATGAAATGCTCTTGACCCTCTGCTGCCACTTGCTGTTTCTCAACCCTAGGATGAGACTGCCACCTGCTGGTCACCGGCATGAGCTCTTTGAAGGCCTCCGGGGCAGGTGCCTTTCAGTAGGAGGTGTCCAGAAAGGCTGGGCATGCTGCATTCGGCAGTTGGCAATACTTGACAAAGGCTTCCTCATGCCAACTTCCAAAACAGAAGCAACGCAAACACTCCTTCTCTGTCCTCCTCAATAACCCCCAAAGTGGCTTTCATTGGTTTTATAACAGCACTGTGTGTCAGGCATCAAGTATTCAATAATAAATCCCACTGGTAAGATAGTTATTAAGAATGTCATCAACAGATTCATTAGTTCTGTGTGTACTGACGTGCAGGGTGACACTCGTTCTGCGTGTGCTGATGTGCAGGGTGACACTTGTTCTGAGTGTGCTATCATACTGGGTGACACTCGTTCTGCGTGTGCTGACGTGCATGGTGACACTTGTTCTGCATGTGCTGACATGCAGGGTGACACTCGTTCTGCGTGTGCTGTCATACCGGGTGACACTTGTTCTGCATGTGCTGACGTGCAGGGTGACACTCATTCAGTGTGTACTGATGTGTAGGGTGACCCTCAGCGTATACTGACATGCAAGGTGATGCATACTTATGACCACCAGGTTCAACAACCACCTTCAGGCTACTAGTTGGAAGAGATGTCACGATCAGCAGGCAGAGTCAGCAGGAAGTGGCAGAAGTTGCAAAATGTAGGGCCATGGAGCAAATTATCAGAAGAGTGTTCCGAGGGCTTCTCTGGTCCCCCCCCCCACTCCCACTGAGAACTCCGTGAAAGTCCTGCCTTCAGTGGCAGTTAGATCACCAGGAAGAGAAGAAGGTAGGCAAGTCCTGCACAGTGAGTGGGCAGGACTCCTGTTTGTGGAGGAGGAGTGGAGCCTGGGGAGGGAGGAAGCTCTCCTGGACCTCTGCCCAGTCCCAAGGTCACATCCCAGAGGGCAATGGTGTAAGGCATTCTTTTCAGACAGTTCTACTCCATTGCCCACTCTCACCACAGGAAGCACCTGGAGCCAGAGAACTGTGCTCCCCCTCATTCACAAAGAAACACACCCAAAGTGCTTCAGGTCAAGGAGTATGTGCTTACTGCCATTTCTTGGTTTTCCTTTAGATAATTTTTTTTACCTTGTCTTCTAACTTGCCGATTCAGTCCTCAGTTTCTTCTAGTCTACTGTTGAAACCTTCTATTGTGTTATCACAGCTATGTCATTCTTCATTTGCTCTTGATTCTTACTCATGTTGGTGAAATTCGCATTTGGCTCCTTACAATTCTCATTGAGCTGCATGTATTTTTCATCCAGATGTTTGAGTATCCTTATAACCATTACTCTGACAAATTACTGGCCTCCATTTCATTTAGTTACTTTCCTGGCAATTCCTCCTTTTCTTTCCTTTGGGGATTGTTTCTTTGTTTCCCCATTTTTGCTGTCCTATTGTAAACATTTCTATGTGTTTTTTTTAAAAAAAAAGAAGATATCAAGATGATAAGGATATCAAAGGACAAACATGACCCAGAATGTCTTTGTTTCAACATGTCCTTGGACAGAAAAACTGGAATGAGGATGGCCCTTACTTCACACTGAGGTCCCTGAGTGTACCTCCTCTGTGCCCACAGCACAGAGGGCTCGCCAGTATCACACCAGCACTCTGGACCCAGTGGGTTCACTTGGCACCTGCAGGCCGTGAGGTCTCCAAGACCAGGATGGTCTCAGTTCTGTGCACCCATGTCCCTCTCTCACACAACAAACATTAATCATTGTAGCTGGGTGATACCTGGGCCTTCAGGGAGTCAGCGAACCTTCCCACTTGTGTTCTGGGGCTTACACACAGATAACCCTGTGCTGGTCCGCTCGCCCCGCTCCAGCTAATCTGAACTCAGCGATGGATGAGACAGACCTGTGTTGTCTCCTGAGAGCTTCGAATCCAGCCTAGGACAGAATCTGGAGGTAGAAACGAACAGAAACCACTGTGATAGGTGTTATGTGAAAGTGGCCAAAGCTCTCATAGACTCATGGAGCATCTAAACTCATGTTTCCATGGACCTCCTTCCCCACATGCTGGTTATGTGCCCTCCCTGAGTTATAGAAGGCCTGTCGCACACTTAATAAGGATGTGTTCTTTCCATCCTTATTTTAATTTGTAACAGGACCTGAAAAGGCTGGTTCCCAGGACATAAATTATCTTCAAAATTCAAATCGGCTCCAAAATACAAAGAGAGCATTGTAAACTATAAATAAGTGTTTTATCCACAGAACACAGCACTAGCTGAGATGAAGTTCAGTGCACCTCGCCCCACCTTTGTGATGTCTGCAATGAGCAGGCGCTGTTGAAATGCCTCTTAAAAATCAATGCGTGTTAATGCTCACGGATCCACACGAGAACCAGCACTGCAAGCCCCACTTAACAGATGGGGAAACTACAGAAGAGGGGTTATGGAACTTGGACAACATGACAGTCAAGAAGTGGCTGATCTAGGACTTGAACTGAAGCTCACTGTCCCCACAGTCCTGTGCCATCTGACATCCATTATCTATGGGTGCTGATCCAGGCTCACTGTCCCCACAGCCCTGTGCCATCTGACATCCATTATCTATGGGTGCTGATCCAGGCTCACTGTCCCCACAGCCCTGTGCCATCTGACATCCATTATCTATGGGTGCTGATCCAGGCTCACCGTCCCCACAGCCCTGTGCCATCTGACATCCATTATCTATGGGTGCTGATCCAGGCTCAGGCTGCCGGGTGTAGGGAGAGCAGAGGACGCGATGTATAAGCACAGCCTCTTGCTTGCTGGGAGCTGGGATTGGTGCAGGACTCTTTAGTGAGGTGGCAACATTGAGACTTTATAAAGTTTACTTTTCCCACTTTCTAAAGTTCATGCATGACCTGTCCAGTCATTAAGGCTGCCGAGCGACGGAGCATGGATTCTGGGGCTGCTGGGTAAAGCTCCATGTCTGTTAGTCTGGCGGTTACAGTGCCATTCAAGTTCCTGCTTCCTTACCGACCTCCTGTCTGGATGTTGCACCCATTACTGAAAGCGGGTGTTGAACTTTCAACTGTTACTGCAGAACTGCCTATTCTCCCTCAATTCTGTCCACGTCTTCTTCACGTCACTGACTCAGTGTTGGCTCAGATCTGCAAGCCCCTGACTGTGCCAAGTCCTGACAACTGCTGGGGACAGTCCTGCTCATTCCCCAGGTCTCCGTGGAGGGATGAGGCGTGGAGCTGCCTTCTCCACCGTTCCAAACCTGAGCCTCCCGAGGACCTTCAGACACCGAGGTCACCGGACTGGAAGGGAAAGTAAGTCTGTTCCTCCCGGGGACATTTATAGGTGTGGGTGTCAAAGCTTCCTCGGGGGTCAGAGCTCCATGAAGGGCCAGTTGACGAGCAGTCACCCTCACAGCAATCCCACACTGACACCCCTCCTGCTCTGATCCCACCTTAGAAACTCTGGCCCAGGTGGCCTCATTTATTTCCTAACTTGCTTTCAAAAAACTTCTTCCCCAACTTCTAGTTAATGTATTTTCTTTGAGAAAGTGTAGAAAATATGAAAAAGCACAGCAATAAAACGATCTGCGGTCCCATTTCCTGAGGTAACCGCTGTTAGCATGCTGACATCTCCAACATTTAGAACAATGCCCAGTTCTGGTTGAGTGTCTGGTGGGTGGCAGGACCACCTGGCATCCACTCAGCTCGCACTGTTATTCCAGATGGCACCTATGGCATCGGCGCGCCCTCGCCTGGAAGCCTGTTCCATCGCTTCATGAGAGCAGACGGGCCCTGTGCTGACTCACCTCCAGTCTCCACCCGCTGAGACTGTCCCTCCGCCTTCCAATAAAACAAAAACTGGTTGTTTGCTCTGCTGATGAGGATGAAGATATTTAAAGGTTGTGGGTTCCACCATCTTTGTCATCTATGTCTGCCTGTCAATTAAGTGACCTTTGCCCTGTTGAGTTGTTTTTAATCCTTAAAAAGCAGCGGAATGTCTCCTTTATTTTAAAATGAAATCTCCTATGAACCCTGCAACATGAAATAAAGGAGACCGAGCTCCACTGCGGAGGTCTGTGCGTGCGTGAGCGGCAGGTGGAGAGGCCGTTCATTCACAGCCTGTCCTGTGTGGCCCTCCCCGCACCCAGGCGGATGCACACCCTCGGGCTCCGGGCCAGGCTGCTGACCACACACCACTGTGCTGTGGTGGAGACCGGTCCTGCTGATGGCTGGAGGACACTGCCTCTGTGTCTCCCGGGGCTCCTCAGTGCCAGCACTCTGAGTCTGCCTCCTGGGATTAAAGAGGAGCCATCCACGGGGGCGTGGCTCGTGTGTGTCCCTCACCAGTACCTGAAGGAGCCTGACAGGGAGGGACCATTTTACTACTCTGCCAGGAAGAGATCATCATCAAGTACTTTGTGAACAGGACTGTGTTGGTGGTCGCTGAAAACAACCATATCTCAGGCCACCCCAGCATCCTTAGGCCCCTCCGTCCATTCCCTCCTCCATCATTACTGCTTCCAGCCCCCGTGACAGTTCTCTTTAGAGCTGGGCAGTTGTCACCAATGCTGTTGGTGCAACGAAATATACTGAATAAATCCCGAATTTCTTCCCTGTTCAAGGTACTGCGGGAGGGACTGTGGAGGCTGCAAAGATGGTAAAGAAGATAGTCTCACTCCTAAAGAACACTTACTACTCTGACAGGGGAGACAATTCACGTAAATTTGTGCTGCAAAGCAAGTCAATGCACCAGAATGTATGGTAAGAAAATTTCAGTATTTTTTAGCAGTACGTAGAGAAATTTTGAAAAATGACCCATCCAATAACAGCATCATCAACAGGAGGTGCTACAGAATGAGAGAAGGCGAAGGAACGTCCCCTCACTGCCTTGGCCTTCAGGACATAACCCCACCCAAGAAGAAAGCACCCATAACAGGTTGGAGACAGGTGAGCATGTGTTTTTACAATTGGCGTGTTGGACGTACTGAGAACGGAGGCTGGGTGTGAACTGCAGCGGGGAGACGTTAGGAAGGCGTGTTTACACGGAAAAGGGATGGATAGGGCTCGGACATAATTTAGTGAGAACAAGAAGCACCACAGCCCACAGGCCAGAGGAGGAGCATGTCCACTGGAAGACAGAGACCGAAATCTGGCTAAGGAGGAGCGCTCTGGGCCTCAGGGACTGAGAGGCTGAGCAGAGGTGTCTGGGCACTGGGGCGGGGTGCTGAGCAGGAGTGCTCTGGGCACTGGGGGATGGGTGGCTGGGTGGCTGAGCAGGGGTGCTCTGGCCACCTGTTGGGGGGGGTGGCTGAGCAGGGGTGCTCTGGGCACGGGGGGTGGCAGTAGGAGGATGAGCAGGGACACTGCTGGGCACTGGGGTGCTGAGTGGCTGAGCAGAGATGCT